GCGTTTATCGTTATTGATAAGTCAGAGAAACTGATCCACAGTGACAGACAGACAGATGATTATATATATAGATAGATAGATATTATTTCATCGCTATTGCTATTTATGTGTTTAAAAAATAGTCACAGTCATGGTCTTGGTCTTCGGTCAAAAACGACCGACCATAGGAAATTAATGGGATATGAAAAAAAAACAAAAAATTAAAATACAGAACATTTTTGTGTGTACAAATACCCCACAATGCAGAAAAAAATTGCACAGCAATGAAGGGGTGAAACTAAAACATCTAGTGTGCAAAATCAACACACTTGTACACACACCTATGAACTTGGTGTGAATGCAACACTGCAACTATGTAAAATAAAATCAATAATTCAACTACAATGCAGTAAAAAAAGTGGACCGCAAGGAAGGGGTTACACTAAAACATCAAGAGTGTAAAACAGATACATCCACTCACACACACACTCGCATACACACACATACAGAAATATACATACTCAAATGAACTGGTATGGTTATAACCATATAGCCAAAATGAGTCAGAAGACTGAAATAAGAGGTTAAAATCAGATCAGACCCAGAAGGATTAAGCTCTGATAAAGCATTCCTGTTCATTTTTGTTACATTTTTATAGAATTTTAATGTTTTGTGTAACAAAATGCTTTCTGTGTTCAGGTTTGAATGTAGTAATAATAATGCAAAAACCTACACTTCAAATCAACATTTAAAACAGCTAAAAATATAAACCTTGACAAAAAGTAGTCTTTGAGAATGCCTTAATATACATTTAAATCCACAACCTAATAAAAGTAAACAATTATGTATAAAACAACTAGGGAATTCACAAGCCTCTCTATAGAGTCCTATACAGGAATCTAGTGGTTACACCATGAAATTACAGTTTTTCTTCTTCTTTTTTCTCTCACCAGGAGGTGCTATTTTAAAGGCATAGTCTCCATTTTAATCTGAAATACTGCATTAATTGAAAAATAATTTTCAAATTAATGATAAAATAAATAAATACATTTTTGTACCATTTTCAATGGGAAAAATTATCATAATTATTACAATTAAATTCTCTCAAATTACAAAAGAAAAAATATTATTGAACAAAAATATATTAGATTGATTTTACTGAAGAAAAAAAAAAAAAAAAAAAAAGAAGTTACATTTCAGGTGTCCGGTCACTTTTGACCACGAAGACCATGAGTGTGACTCCCAAATGAGGAACGCACAAGGGTTTTAAATTAGTCCTACGCCGATGATCTAAACCTTATATTAAGCAGAAACAATTAAATACCCACTATCAGCCGATACCTGACAAATTACAAAATAAAATAGAAACAAAACAAAAACAACAAAAAAAGATGCAGGACACATTATAATTATTATAGCTGTCTTACACCAAAAAGCTTCAAAGGAGAGCTATGCTGATGATCCCCACTAAATCTGAGACTGTGTCTGTGTGTGTGTGTGTGTGTGTTGAGGAAGGCAGATGCCGAAGGGTAGTGAGGCTACACCTCAGGGACCAACCAACATTCTCCTGGCATAACAGACTCTGAAACCCAAGCTCAAAGGAAATATTTAGAGAGAGAAACCATGGCTTTAGAGAGAGAAGCCTCAGGTTTCAGAAAAAGAGAGAGAAGTGCAGCTGTAAGAGCTTCTCTAATATGTGGCATCCATTCTCTAGGTGCCCTTGTGTGTAATGTGTATATATAATAAGCAAGTCTGCCACAGACAGTATAAGATCAGATAAGACTACTTATAAAGACTAATGAGAGGACAATGTCTCCATTTCCTCGCAAGTCATTGTCATTTCCCAGTTTCCCCCTGAGAAGCTCGGCTTAAACCCTCGCAGTCGTCCAAACAGGCCTCTGTGTTATGGCTGTGCAAGCAAACTGGACCATGATGACTCAAGAGTGTTTGCTTTGCAAGTGGGCAGAAGGCATCAGCGGGATATACAGTACATCAGCGCTTCCACACACTGCCAAGATCCAGCAGATAATGGCTGATTTAAGTGCTCTGGAAAAAACCCTTTTACTGAGATGCCTGGACTCAAGCATGTGATATCGGACATTATAAACAAGGAGCGGAAGGACATAAAGGCTGGGTTACATGTGTCATGCAATGAAGCAATGACAGATAGAAGACTGCAAGTGCATATATACACTCACAATGTATATAAAAATGCCTAGACAGACACCCACTTGCATACTACCGCCTGACAGAATCAACTGGCTATGAAAGAAAGAGAATACGGCTGTTATTTCAAACAAATGAGAAGTCCAATTGTTGGTTGACTATTTTCATGCAACATATACAGAAAAAACTGTAACAGAAACTGGGAATCAAGGAATCACAGTTATGGCATTACTTATGGCTAAGAGGCCATGCACATTTTTTCTTTTCTTTTTTTAAATTGCTTTCAAATGACCAGGACTTAAATCACATCCAAAATCAGTGTAAGATTATTACTAACAACAAATTATAAATGCCTATAAATGGCTTTTGTTACCTCAAAATCAAGAAAAAAAATAAGTTGAAATTAAGAAACAAAACCTTATGCCAAGATCACAAGAAAAGTTATTGCGAAAACAACTTATGTTCAGATAACAAGAAAAATTTTATGATCTTCTGACCACAAGAAAACAAATTATGTCAAGGTAACAAAACCTTTTTCTTTTTTTTCTTACGCTCTTGAAAAAACAAAATCAAGTTGAGGATCTCAAGAAAAATTAAAATGAACATCACAAGAGCAATTTTAGTTCTGTTGAGATCACAAGAAAATTAGGTCAAGATAGAAAAAACATCTTTTGTTAAGTTGAAATTACAATAAAATTAATTTGTGATTTAATAAAAAAAATAAAAAAAAATCACTGAGAACACAAGATTTTTTTTTTATGTTGAGAAAAACCTTTTTTAAATTTGAGATTAAAATTAAACCAAAATCTCTGAACAAAACTTTTATAAATCAAACTGTTAAGAAAATCATACTGTGATAATGACAAAACAGAAAAATATTGCTTTCAACCAATGGCATGCTAGATTCTACAAGCACAAATTCTGTGTGGCCCCGTCTACTAGCAACGAGCAGAAAGCAACTTCAGCAATTAAAAGGCTGTCAGCATAAGTTACAGTGAAGAAAACTGAATTACAAACTGTATTTGTTCATGAAACTCACTAACATTATAAAAAAAATGTCCGCTCAAGGGAAAATAAATTAAATGCTAAATAAGCAAGAAAATGGCTCCTTTACATGCAATTAAATTAAAAGACAGTGCGCTCTGTGCTTTGCAGTATCTCTATTTTTGGCCCCATTTCTTTCTGCCTTTGTACTCTTCTACAGTCTCTCCATTCTCTGGTTTATCTGCACACTATAGCTCTCTTTCATCTGCGAGCAGCAGAAGGGAATGGGGTCCTCTGCATTTATAATGTGATTATTGAGTTACTGTTCTTTGACCCGTCCCACAGTGCTTTGCATTTTCCACCACTGAGATAATGAACCCCACTCAAATGACCGGTGAAGACCTCCACCCCTCTCTCTGGGCCGGATGAGTGGGCTCCTTTATCCATCTTGATTTCCTTAATTTGTTGAATGAGTTAAACACAAAAAAACAAGAGAAGGACCGAGGCGAAGGGAGGCGCACTGTTCTAGTGTTTTCTCCTGCAATGTGAGAGCACGGCAAATCCCACCACTGCCGGACCTCCGAGCGCTCCGAGCATTCCTCCTGGTTTTCTTTTCTCGTGTTGTATAAGCATGTGCATATGCATGGGAGACCAGACGCTGACATTTCAAATGGCGGCCGTCTGCTTTATGGAACGCTCCTCTTATTCTTTGGCTCCATCTATCAGGTTAAACGGCTGTTTGACAGACTAAGAGCCGTCCGTCATCGCCTAAACTCCACCCCCCTCGCAACAGGACGGGCCCCACCCAATCAGGGGTTCCGTTGCATGTGCGCAAGCTGTGCAAATGGTTTCTAGAGCCCTTAACTTCCACAGACAACAGACAAGACCCTCCCTGCAAGGGCCAGCTGACCTGTAGGCTGTGTGTGTGTTTCAAATGGTTTCCTTCTTTTAAAGCGGATGGCTTTTGGTTTCATAGTCAACAGAATAGATTCTCCCATCAAGGAGATATTGGCCTGTACCATGTGCATGTGTGTATATGAAAGCGGGTCCTAAACCCCTGTTCTAAGTCCACGACCCTTTCCCGTCTTTTAAACGGCTCCATGTGGTGCAACCACATCTCTCTCTTACCTATAAGTTCCATCTAAGCAACACTTACAGTAGGATCCCAAAGTCTGTGACCACATTTTAAAATACATGATTTCAACCTGGAAATAAACAATTTTTCAGAAAGCTGAACATTTCAAAAAGAAATGTTAAGACAAAAAAATCAATTTGAAAGATTCTGCAATATTTCAAGGCTGCTTATCAAAAAATAAAAATCATGTGAACATGTGACTTCTTTCTACAGATGGTCAGATGTTCTCGCTTCCACTGAAGATAAAGATACTCTTCTACTATATTGGATAATCTCAAATCAGGCTGACATTAAATCATCACACTGACATTAAAGCAAAAGGGGGGCAAATCCAATATTAAAAAATATAAATTATGCTAATATTTAAAATAAATTTTTCTTTTCTTATTTTATATATATATATATATATACACATACATACATACATACATACATATATATATATATATATATACACACACACACACACACACACACACACACACATATACAGTGGGTACGGAAAGTATTCAGACCCCCTTAAATTTTTCACTCTGTTATATTGCAGCCATTTGCTAAAATCATTTAAGTTCATTTTTTTATATATATACACACACACACACAAAAACACAGATACATACATACATATTTACACTACCTTTCAAAGGTCTGGGGTTGGTGAGATAGTTTAATGTTTTTGAAAGTCTCTTATGCCTACTGCATTTATTTAATCGAAAATATTATGAAATATTACAATTTATATTAAAATTTTAAATTGGACTTTTCAGCAGCCATTACACCTGTCGTGGAGTAACGTTTGGTGCTCAAGTAACTTTTCTTAATATCAATGGGGCAATCAATGCATTCACCGCATGTTAAGTTAAAACAGGAGATAAAAACGCTTGGCAATCTGCCTTCATCAGTGTAACAATTCTTAGTTTCCCAATGATTATATAGAAAATGTCAAACATCAGGTGATCATAATCCACAGTCTCCAGTTGTTGTTGTTTTTTTTAAATTGTGGGTACAATGTTTATAAACAGCATTATTTTTGCCTGATGTGTTATTGTTCTCATTAATTCGTTTCAGATGTGGAGTGGAGTCTGTGGATTGATTATGATTTGTGGTTTTCTATATAATCATTTGAAACCAATTTTGTAGTTTATTAGCAATGTTGAAAACGGTTGTGCTGCTTAATATTTTTGTGGAAACCGTGAGAATTTTTTCAGGATCCTTTGCTGTCTGTTTTGATCAATATAATCCATTCTTACCAAATAAAATAATACATTTCTTAAAAAAAAAAAAAGTTACTGACCCCGACTTTTGAACAGTAGCATAAAAAAATACAAATGTATTATTATTATTATTAATAATAAAATAGTGTAATTATAAAAATACAACATAACACTTTTATAAGAGCTCCAGTCTTTTGGGCCCCACTATATCACTTTATTCCTTTCTTTCAGAGAAATATGAGAGAGCAAAGACAGAAACCGGAGGGGAACGGTTTTGGTGAAAACCCAAAACAAAATCTATAACTGATCTGGAAGAGAGTCACATTGGGAATTATGTCACATGCTTTCATGTACCGGGGGCCTGAAGCGATCCGTCAGCTGTCATGTCTTTTCATCTCTTCTCTGAGCTTGAATTACAAATGGTGACATGTAACTGGTTTTTCAAATAAACATACACCTCCGTCTCAATACTCACATCCAGGGTGTCCTCGTTTATCACCAGCAGGCCCATGTTCTTCGTGAGCAGTTTGCAGGAGTGTCCTACAGGAAAAAACAAAATAAGATAAAAAATAACTCATTACTTAAACCTCTCACTAAGCCTGTTTGTGGGGAAAAAACGCCTTGCTTGGCATTTGAAAAAATTACGAATGGTTCGCCGCAACTTAGTATTTTAGCAAAACATCAACATTATAAAGATATATGATGTGTAACTACAGCATCGGATGAAAGAAATGACTAATTGAGGAGTGAAAAGCACATTTTGTGATTAAAGTTTACAGCAGACCTGAGTTTAAGACTCCCAGGCCGCATTGGTTTTAACGTGCCTCTCCTCTTTTCGTATGAGATCACAACTGGAAGGTTGACAGCGGGCTCTCTCAACCCGATAAAAACACACAACATCCCATCATCCATCAGGATGTGTCTAAACAACATAAAGGGCAGGACAAGCCCATTTGCTGTTTAATAGGTTACCGACACCGCAGTATTTGAGGAGTGATGTCCGTGGGGAACGGTTTGTGTGCGCGCGCTGGAAAGAATCACCGGGACACTAGTTTTAAATAAAAGTTACCATAAAAGACAAGAATTGCCCAAAAGCAGTAGTTATATTAAATTACAGTAATTACATATCAGATAGACCTGCTATATTTATCCTAGCAATAATATTTCAAAAATCGATAATTGTTGGTGCTGTAAAACATTACATTATACCTGTTTTTTGTTGTTGTTGTAGTAAAACTCATTACTTCGCATAACAATACTAGTTATTATAAAAGGATAATGATTTACACTATTTAATGTTTAGCATATGATTCAATGCCAATAGCGACACCGTACGAAACTGCAAAAATAATTTCCAAAACAGGTTTCCCAAACCCTAAGGCCCCAAATTCAAGCCCTAGTAGTGGGATCATTCGGGAAGTCAACTTATGAATAGTAGCCTTGTAGCTAACTTTGCCCACATTTTAACAGAAAGAAAAAAAGAAAAAGAAAAAAAACCAAGACGACACACTTCACCCTTAAGTAAACGTGACTGTGCCATTACAAAACTGTGACCAAATTCAACAAGAGCATGAATGAGTATGCATTTGTGTGCCGGTGTCCTGCCCTGTCATTCCTGTTTTTAAGTGCTTCTGTTGATTTCAAACTTGCATATTCACTCAAATTTCCTGGCTGTGTGGAAAACAGATTTGGTTTCCTGACAGGGACCCAAACCTTGACATATTTCCACAGCTTCATCTTGACCGCTGGCAGTCTAATGTCACCTCATCCTTCTTCAACTTGGTTAAACTAAAAGCGACAGATTTTCACTGTGACACCTGCATTACGCAGCATAACTCTGTATGAATCTGTAAAGGAGGCACTGAGGTTACAATCAGCGGTTGCATTGGCTCCGCGCTACTGCAGGGTGGGTTTTCATTCGGTCTGTTGGCAGTGGCTGTGGGTTAGAAGAGGGCATGTTGAGTTGTTTGCGTTGGCCGCATGCTGTTTGTTTGGGCTTTAATCTTGAGGCTTTACAGTGGCACCCAGTGGCCAGGATCAACAGCCCAGCTGTAGAGGCACAGTGTGGATAGCTCGTCTGTCCTCAATCCAACTTTCTGCTTAATGGTCTGATACATTAATAAGGCCGTCAGAGGGCTAGTGTGGATAGAAGTACTGGAGCGGTTTCGCTTACTATGTAAAAGAGGCGGCCAAACAACTCGAAGTGCCCACTAACCTGAGATTAAACTGCGCTCGACTTCACAGTGCTAGGGTTCACTTCACTCCTGATAGCTTTTCATATGTTTTTGGAGAGTGCAAGTGTGGGAAATGAAGAACCCTTATATGCTGTGGTTTTAATGTATGCATTCATGATTTCAAGTGATAAAAAAAACTTAAAGGCCTTTGTTTTTTTATTTTGTACTGTTCTTTGAGGTCCACTTATAATGTTATCAAGATTTTTACATAAAAAAACATCATAATTTAGAAGTAATAGGCTATTTTCTGTCCTGTTTTGACCCCCTCTCATCGGAACGTTCTGTTTGAATAGGCGTGGCAGATTGTAGACTCAGAAGTAAACGCCCACTGCTATGATTGGCTAGCAGTTGTGTATGTTTGATAGCCTACATCCTTCATAGATGGATGCTGTGATTTAGGATAAAAACGCATAAATACTCCGTACATATCAAACGATCTGTAATAACAGACAAAGCAATAGTGACCACACAATAAAAACAGTTACTCACACTTGTGTGCTGCAACATTACTGTTGGATCCAATATAGCTGCACAATAAACAGGCAGAGATGTCGAAGCAGGCGTTGAACTTCTGCGGAGGTGGTGTTTAGCCACACTATTGTCATAAAGTGGCACATTCCACAACCTGTCGTTTGGGCAGTATATAAGCTGTTTTTAGACTAACAAGAAAGTTTTGAGTTCTGAAACTTACAGGATGTTTTTATAGTACAATGACCTCTTATATGTCAAAAGATCGATGGAATTTTGATTTCTCAGTTCATGACCCCTTTAATTACTTTCCACTATGTTATTGTAAAACAAAACAAAACAAAGTTATGAAGAACAGTCTAGTTCAGTCGTTTTCAAACTGGGATAAATTGAAAACAATAATAATAATAATGATTTTTTTTTTCATTCACATTCCACAAATGTAAAATTTTACTTTACTTAAACAAAAAAATTGCATAGTGAAGCACTGTCTAGTCCAGTGGTCCATAATAAATTGAGAAAATCGGAACGTTCTGTTTGAATAGGCGTGGCAGATTGTAGACTCAGAAGTAAACGCCCACTGCTATGATTGGCTAGCAGTTGTGTATGTTTGATAGCCTACATCCTTCATAGATGGATGCTGTGATTTAGGATAAAAACGCATAAATACTCCGTACATATCAAACGATCTGTAATAACAGACAAAGCAATAGTGACCACACAATAAAAACAGTTACTCACACTTGTGTGCTGCAACATTACTGTTGGATCCAATATAGCTGCACAATAAACAGGCTAAACAGGCAGAGATGTCGAAGCAGGCGTTGAACTTCTGCGGAGGTGGTGTTTAGCCACACTATTGTCATAAAGTGGCACATTCCACAACCTGTCGTTTGGGCAGTATATAAGCTGTTTTTAGACTAACAAGAAAGTTTTGAGTTCTGAAACTTACAGGATGTTTTTAAAGCACAATGACCTCTTATATGTCAAAAGATCGAGGGAATTTTGATTTCTCAGTTCATGACCCCTTTAATTACTTTCCACTATGTTATTGTAAAACAAAACAAAGTTATGAAGAACAGTCTAGTTCAGTCGTTTTCAAACTGGGATAAATTGAAAACAATAATAATAATAATAATGATTTTTTTTTTCATTCACATTCCACAAATGTAAAATTTTACTTTACTTAAACTTAAAAATTGCATAGTGAAGCACTGTCTAGTCCAGTGGTCCATAATAAATTGAGAAAAAAATATAATAATAATAAATATATTATCAAAATGTCTTTTTAAGACCGGTAAAGTCAGCGTGTGCATAAATTAAATCAAACTGCGTTTAATGTATTTTTGCCTATTCATGTTCATCAATTGTTTTTTTTTAAACTTCTGTGCTTAAGATACATGCCAACTTAATAAAAGTTTCAAGTTTGTTTATTTATACAGTATAGCACATTTAAAAACAGCAAACACGGCTGTCCAAAGTGCTGAATTAAACATAAAACGAAAGCACAGGGCAAACCACACATTCATGACAAAAGCTCACAACGAATTGAAAGCCAAAGAAAAAAAAAAAGGATTTAAGAGATGATTTAAAAGCAATTAAAGACCGATCTGTGCCGAAAGGTTAATGCTTTCCAGATATTTAAACAATTTGATTCAGTACAATGTAGTAAAGTCAGCGTGTGCATAAATTAAATCAAACTGCGTTTAATGTATTTTTGCCTATTCATGTTCATCAATTGTTTTTTTTTAAACTTCTGTGCTTAAGATACATGCCAACTTAATAAAAGTTTCAAGTTTGTTTATTTATACAGTATAGCACATTTAAAAACAGCAAACACGGCTGTCCAAAGTGCTGAATTAAACATAAAACGAAAGCACAGGGCAAACCACACATTCATGACAAAAGCTCACAACGAATTGAAAGCCAAAGAAAAAAAAAAAAGGTTTTAAGAGATTATTTAAAAGCAATTAAAGACCGATCTGTGCCGAAAGGTTAATGCTTTCCAGATATTTAAACAATTTGATTCAGTACAATGTACTCGTCTCTCCCTCTGTGAACGTACACAATAAGAAGAAACAATCTAAAATGCTTTGAAACTTCATACTACTCAAAACTTAATGCGATATGGTGATTTAAAAGCTCACACTTTACTTTGACGAGTCGCTCCAGCGCACACGCGCTTCAGATGAGCAACGCAATCAATCCCATAAAGCCCCTTTTACACAGGATACAGCAAGCGGTGAAAACACTGTGCGCAGCCGCTTTCTCTCATTTTGGACACGTTTTGTACAGTCAAGGCAGTGCTCGTGTCATGGACTCGAGGCGGACGTTGCCATAGTAATCATAAAGCGTGACAAAATGTCTATTCACTTAAAGGGATAGTTCACCCAAAAATTAAAATTCTGTCATCATTTACTCACCCTCATGTTGTTATAAACCTGTATGAGTTGCTTTCTTATGTTGAACACAAAAGAAGATATTGACTTCCATAGTAGGAAAAAAAATTACTATGGAAGTCAATGGCAACCACCAACTGTTTGATTACCAGCAATCTTCAAAATATCTTCTTTTGTGTTCAACATAAGAAAGCAACTCGTACAGGTTTGGAACGACATGAGGGTGAGTAAATGATGACAGAATTTTCATTTTTGGATGAACTATCCCTTTAAGTCAGCTCATCCAAAAAACTTTAAGCTGACCCACTTTCATGTTGTTCTCGCACGTCAAGCACGCTTTTAAACGTCCGTGCGCTGTAGGGTGTGCATTATTATTATTTCCCATTTCATATTTTATTGTTATTTCCAATAACACTTCCCGTGTCTTGTTTTTTTAAATGCAAAAACCATACGGTCTATGGCAAAAACGCCTTCTCTGTGAATAGCCGTTTAGGACTCAGCTCATCTACAGGTATTTCCCTAAACAACCACAGGTCAGATTTTCTGGCACAGAATGAGAGTTTATTAAATCATGAACATGATAATTTATTTTTGCTAATTATTTTAGTTTGTTTTTCCAGTTACTGTTTTTAGTTTGGTTTAGTTTTTCATTTATTTTCAATTGTAATTTTATTTCGGTTTATGAAAGTTTTTTGACCAATAGTTTTAGTCTTCGTTTCAGTTTTCGTTTACAAAAATAACCTTGCCTCAGACACCTTTTAACGATGCTGGCAAAGGATTCTTGGAACCTAAAGTAGCTGGAAGACTCTTGTCTCTTGTCATCCAAAAATCTAAATATACAAAGTAAACACAGACACGGGGTGTCTTTATTTTAGAGTGCATGCCGGCCAAGTGGACATCCAGTAAAAATCCCTTCCCAGGGCTCCAGACTCATTCTTCCCACTGGTCGCTCTTTTGCGACTAACTTTCTCAGTTGGTCACACGAGCACATGATTTGGTCGCAATTTTTAGCGCTACAACATGGGATTAATCAATGCATGTTTTTTTCATAGTTTATAGTTGTATGAAAGTAAACACAGACATGGGGTGTCTTTATTTTAGAGTCCAAGTGGACGTCCAGTAAAAATCCCTTCCCAGGGCTCCAGACTCATTCTTCCCACTGGTCGCTCTTTTGCGACTAACTTTCTCAGTTGGTCACACGAGCACATGATTTGGTTGCAATTTTTAGCACTACAACATGGGATTAATCAATGCATGTTTTTTTCATAGTTTATAGTTGTATGAAAAACGAAAGTGGTTCTTTTTCATCAGTAGTATTATTTGTGATTTGAATTTTGTGAATGGGAGTTCCTCTTTTGCTGTGTTATAAGCCGGGCTTGGGGTGCTCGAATTCGCAATCGTCACATTTTACGAGAAAAGATAATTGTCTGTTTTGCTTACATACATCTACACACCTTTCACTTTTTAAGACTAAAACAAAAGATGGATTCATTGTTAAATGTAAAAAGCACCACAACAATAAAACCGTAAGATACAATGACAAACTAGCTTTATTAAAGCTGCAGTCCATAAATTTTGCCTCTTTGTCGCCATCTCTGTTTGCAAACCTGGAATTGCAGTTCCTTGCGGAATTATCTTCCTTGCTTGGGTTGTACTCTGGCACGGCTCCAGCGCGGATTAATCTAATGTTTTGAGGAGTATGTGTGGCAGTCAGTCACCGCACCGGTGTGGATATTTACTGTACTTCGCAATCACAGATTCTAGCCTACGTTTTAGGAATATGACCCAAATAAGAATTTTCACCGGATATTGTCATCTGAAGTAGTAACAAGTCACGTTTGTTCAGACCAACTGAGGAAAAAAGCATTAAAATAAATCGTGCCACCAATGGTGATATAATCTAACGATCGATTAGCTCATATCACATCAAACAGTGCAAATTATTATTATTGTTATACTTTATTCTCAGATTATTAATGTTAACAATATCAGCAATGCGGGACTATGAGTATAGTGTGTGTGTGTGTGTGTGTGTGTGTGTGTGTATAGAGTTCAATTTCTGTACAGTCTAATCTCTAATTGTCATACCATTCGAATTTCATACCAATAAATTATTTTAACCCAAAAAGCAAACTATGCTCCCTTAGAACTGGTTGTCTTTAAAATACAAATATTGTGTAATCCCAGGCTATCTGTAATCAGAAGCACATTTAAAACTGGAATATAACAATTTAATTTCACATAATCCTTTCTGGATTACAATCCACCATCGAAATTATATATTTAATTATTCCAGCTGCTGTGAGAAAAGGCTACATACCATTCGAATTTCATACCAATAAATTATTTTAACCCAAAAAGCAAACTATGCTCCCTTAGAACTGGTTGTCTTTAAAATACAAATCTTGTGTAATCCCAGGCTATCTGTAATCAGAAGCACATTTAAAACTGGAATATAACAATTTCATTTCACATAATCCTTTCTGGATTACAATCCGCCATCGAAATTATATATTTAATTATTCCAGCTGCTGTGAGAAAAGACTATAAACGATCCTCCACCTGCAGGATCCTCACATGCGATAGCCTAGTAGTAGCCTTTATGTTTACAGAAGTGACGTAATGACGCAGCAGCATGCTCGAATTTCCCGGAATATAACAATTTCATTTCACATAATCCTTTCTGGATTACAATCCGCCATCGAAATTATATATTTAATTATTCCAGCTGCTGTGAGAAAAGACTATAAACGATCCTCCACCTGCAGGATCCTCACATGCGATAGCCTAGTAGCCGGGACAACTTCTTTATGTTTACAGAAGTGACGTAATGACGCAGCAGCATGCTCGAATTTCCCGTGAAAACCTACCCGTACCACTCAAATTAGAAAACATTATTATAAGATAACCGTTGTGAATCGGGCTAAAGTAAGGCGATAGTTCTGAACACTGGCTGGTTATGTACTTGCTCAAATATTTATTTTGGAGAATTTTTAACCCAAAAAAAAGCACTGCAGCTTTAACAAAAACTAATAAGATGAGGCATACACCACATGCTGCATTATATACGGACTAATGAATTACAGAACGTTTAGCAAACACTGAAGAATAAAAAATAAAAATAAATAAATAAATAAATAAAATAAAATAAAAGAGAGCCTCCATAGCGTATGGTGAGGTAAACAGCAAAGATAACATGCTTTTTAAAACAAAAACAAAAAGAAAAGTAAAACTAAACTTGCTGTCGGTGATAGTGCTTGCATATTTTTCCCCCCACATGAATACCAACATGTTCACCTTCTCTGGTTTAAGAAGCGGTATTTTACTTTACTATAGCTTGAAAACAATTAATTGTTTCCTCAACATTCACATCCTTTTTGCTGTGCGCACCTTCGTGCTCCTGCTGACGCGGCAAGTATAAATCAGGCTCTACACTCAAGCACTGCGCAGTTCAAACGAGTAGCGCAGTTTCGTTTGCCGTTTGATGTTTCTCATATGCAACAGAAATGGCAGCGCTTATGAGTTGAACAATGCGGTGGTTGCGCCAGTGCGACCGCACACAATTTAGTCGCACAGTCAGAAAAAATGGTAGCAAATTGCGACCATTTGGTCGCAGTCTGGAGCCCTGCTTCCTCTCTGAGCGTGTACATTTTCAAGCCGCGGCACAGCTGGCAGGTGGGCACAATGGGCTGATTCAGGATTCTGGATCTCTGTTAGGATCTGTTTTTCTGACTGTAGCATTTAACACGAGATCTGTTGGAAAGCCACACTAGTAGTCACGTAGCTGACTAATACGAGACGCCACATCACAGGGAAACAGGAGGAGGGACCGTGGTCTGTTTTGAGAGCTGGTGGTTTTTGCAGGGACAGATTAGAGCTGAGCAGGTCGAGGACACGTGTGTTACATCAGCTTTCAGATGAGGAAAGAAACCAAACACCTTATACCTGAGCGACAGCCGGTCAGGAAGAGCTATGTTTGTTTAAGTGTAAGAGCGAGAGAGGTCTGGGTAGGAATTTGTATACTTTTGATCATTTAAATTAGGGAGAGAAATTCTCACTGGTTAATGTCAATATATAAGGAAAAAACCCCGATGCATCTCATCTGTAAGCAGTGTTGGGCAAGTTACTCTGAAAATGTAAATCAAATTACTGATTACGGATTACTCCTTTTAAAAGTAATCACGTTACTGTTCTGATTACTTTATTTAAAAAGTAATTAGTAACATTACTAGTTACGTTACTTTTTTCTCCATTAAAAATATGAAATCCCAGCATACACACCCCAATAAATATTTGTTATTAAAGTATCAACATTCACAGAACACTGTTATTTTTAACTAAAACAAGCGGCTGCTGCGTGCATGGTTTGGCATGGCAGAATGCCAGCAAAGAGCGCTGCATTTATAATCTCTAAAAGACATCTCAGTTCATCGCAATCTCACAAATCTCTGTTATAACACAATAAATAAATGCATAATGAATTTTTCATAATGTCTATAATTCGTGTGTTATAATGAGAATTCGTGAACACGCAAATTTCAGCACTGCATTGCTCAACGCTGCAAACACGTGTTATAGCCTAAATAGAAACTCTGCATGCACCTGTTGATCGTTTATATTTTATATTAGTTCATGTTGCTTTTGTGCAATAGATGAATAACAATTTATTTGTTTTAGATATTTTATGTTTAGATATTTCTATTTTGCGGGAGTCCCGTGAATCATTTTATTCTCCCGCATCCCTCACACACACACACACACACACACACACACACACACACACGTGTGTCTACCCGCTTGCACCTGCACTCGCCCATCTTATACCGCGCACTCTGTTGCGTTGGGTCTCGCAGGAGAGCAGGTCTCTAATCCACTGGCACTTGACTCGACAGTGCGTGTGCTACATCCTTTTTACAATCTCTAGATTATAAATCACTGCATTCTGTCAGCAATGTAACGCGGCAGTAACGTATAGAGACTTTGGCTTGTAACTATACTCTAATTACTATTTTGAAAATTATAACACGTTAAATTACGCCGTTACTAAAAAAGTAATCAAATTACAGTAACACGTTACTAAGTAATGCGTTACTGCCCAACACTGTCTGTAGGAACTAAAATAAGAAAAATGAAGGTAAAAAAATTAAGATAACATGACTGGGATAGCAGTTAGCATGGCATAACATGTTCTTATATGTCTCTATGTCACTCATGTGGACGTCCACATGCTGTCCACTTCCCCTTCATCTCCACATCAAAGTGTATATTCATACAAACAATCTTTATATGTTTTTCTCTCACCTATGTTGATGGCGGTCTCCTGTTTGTCTCCAGTCAGGATCCAGATCTTAATGTCGGCTTTCATGAGGGTCTCGATGGTTTCAGGTACTTTGTCTTGAAGTTTGTCTTCAATTGCAGTGGCCCCCAACAACTGCAAGTTCTGCAGAGAAACAGACAAAAAATATATTAATAATAATAAAAATAAATAAATAAATTAGAAAGCTTTTCCCAAATGATTCCTGTTTGTAAACAGATTAAAGAAAGATATAATGTATAATCAGCCAGTCATTATTAGAAAATAAACCCCGACGTGGTGATTATTTTGGGATAATGACCAGCTGATTTTACAATATTCCTTTTTTTACAGCTACTATTCACAGCTACTTTTCAATTAAACACATATGAACATGAATATATTATAAACAGTGAGTTGAGAGACTGTGAAGTGATACGAGAGACTAGTACAGCTCCAGGCCATCCTTTATATTCTATTGTACCTTAAACTGCACAAAAACAGGAAATAAGTGTGCTGAGCTGTATTAATAACTCTTGTTGGTGCTTTCCTACAGTCAGCTGATTATCCTTACAGTTAGTTGCTAATGTAGGACCAGATGGGAATTTGAGAAAAATCATCTCATTCTTGGATCACAAAGTTGTGTATGTTTGTGTATATGCGAGAGACAGGAGGAGACAGAGAGACAGAGACAGAGAGAGAAAGAGAGAGCGTGGACTGTTAATGTGTTTTTCTCAGGAAGCCCCTGTCCCTTTGACCAGCCATGATCCTATTTGGAGCGGACATAATTTTGACAGGACCCCATAGAGGAAACTCAGCTGCACCAAAGAGAGAGAGAGAAGGGAAAAAAAAAGGAAAGAAAAAAGGGCGCGCAAATGTCCTCCTCTAAGCTGATCAGTAACGTGGTGAGCAGAAGTCTCAAGCAGGGGCTCGGATGTGATACAACCTTTACTTAATATCATGCTCTAATTCTTTTTTTTGTTTGTTTGTTTTAAGGGCACAAATATGTAAAATCTGATATAATTTAAATGTAAAATGAGAGCTGACACTCTTTTTGGCATTTGAAAACACATGAATCAGAATAATTAATTAATTATTTAAGGGGTAAGGCAATTGCAGAACTTTGGGAATAACGACCATTAAACTACTGACATTTCTACAGGATTCTGTGTGCTTAGTTATGCTCAAAAACAAAATTATTGTTAGTTCAAGACCCTCCAAAATCTCTTAAGTAATTTTATCATAAATGTGAATTCAAGATACATACACTACCAGTCAAAAGTTTAGGGCATGTAAGATTTAAATTTTTTTTTGGAAAAATTATTAATTTTATTTAGCAAGAATGCTTTAAATTGATCAAAAGTGACGGTTAAGATGTTTATAATGTTATGCAAAATGCTTTCTATTTTGAATTAAAACTGTTAGTTTGAACAGCATTAATAATAAGCTTTTCCACAAAATTAATAAGCAGCACCAGAAGAAGAAGAAGAAGTAGTTTTTGAGCAGCAAATCAGCATATTAGATTGATTTCTGAAGGATCGTGTGACACTGAAAACCGCAGTAACGATGCTGAAAATTAAATTATTTTTTTTACAACATTAAATAAAAATATTTATTAAACAAGTTTTTTTATTTTAATATATATTAAAAGCTAGTAAAATTATAGTATCGCACAATATTACTGTTTTTACTGTATATTTGATCAAATAAATGCAGCCTTGGTGAGCATAAACTTAAAAAAAAAAACATTAAAACAAATCTTACCAAATGTATTGTACAAAAAAAATATATATATTTTGAGTGTGATGTGAATATGTAATCCAATCATCTATTAATAAAGATTTTTTTTTTAATTTTATGTGCCCTAGAAGGCAATGTGTTTTTTAACCTACTGACGATTTGCCGATTATTTACATTTTACCTATTAAGAGTACTGTATATTTGATCAAATAAATGCAGCCTTGGTGAGCATAAGAAACTAAAAAAAAAAAACATTAAAACAAATCTTACCAAATGTATTGTACAAAAAAATATATATATATTTTGAGTGTGATGTGAATATGTAATCCAATCATCTATTAATAAAGATTTTTTTTTAAATTTTATGTGCCCTAGAAGGCAATGTGTTTTTTAACCTACTGACGATTTGCCGATTATTTACATTTTACCTATTAAGAGTCAAGAGAGATTTAATGTCAGTTACATTCATATAAATATATACAGAAAGATGATATAATGTTCCCTTGAGACCCATCATGCTAAAATGGCCAGTGCAAAAAAGGTGCAACAAAGTAAACAAGGCAATAAAATAGACAATAAATAAAACATTTGTGCAACAAACCATTTGAAAGCCTTAAAGGGATCATATGATGCGAATTCAAGTTTTTCTCTCTTTGGAGTGTTACAAGCTCTTGGTGCATAAAGAAGATCTGTAAAGTTGCAAAGACTAAAGTCTCAAATCCAAAGAGATATTCTTTATAAAAGTTAAGAGTCAACCACGCCTACCTAAAACGGCTCGTTCTAACACGCCCCCACATGTCTACGTCACGATGTGGGAAGATTTGCATAACACCGCCCAAATGTGCACGCAAAGAAAGGCGGTGTAACTTTTATTCTCACTGTAGTATTGTTGTTGCTGCCATGTCGTGAAGACGCTGTGTGTTTCATTGTGAAAGCGAAACTACTTTGTTTGGCCTTCCAAAAGAGGATGATATCCGGAGTCCAGCCCGGCGTTGTCACATGTGGTTGACACAAACCCACCGGCCTCTCCTTCGTCGAATCCTTCGACTCACTCTAGGCCTCTGGCCTCCGCTCACTCTAGCCCGCCGTGTGTGACGCTGTGTGTTTCATTGTGAAAGCGAAACCACTTTGTTTGGCCTTCCAA